CGGTGTAAGTGGCACCCTTGCGTGTAGCGTTTTCAGCCTTCGTGGGTTCATGTAAGTGCCCTGCCCAAAGACGTCGCGGCTGTGGTTTGTTTGGTGGGGCGCCCCGTCCGGGTATCGCTGAAGAGCGCGGATATTGCCACCCCCTCCCTTGCTTGGCTTCCTTGTGCTACGAATAGGAATGGTTCGTTGGGATGTGGCCCCATCATCGGCCATGCCACCCTTGCTTACTTGCCTTTTATTATGATGGTTTTGTTTTCTGCTGCTGATCAGGACATGTAGCAAGTTGGACAACGGGTGAGATTGAAAATGATAAAGGCAGATACACTTTGAGATGATGTCTTGATTTTCGGCGATGCCGCAGATCTTAAAGTATTACCAGGATTCTTTTAAATGCATGTTTCTGCAAGGCTGATATGGTGCACAGTAGTATTGTAAAACAATGTTTCACGGTTTGAGCTGTCAACCAGTACCAGGGTTCCAAAGGTTCCCTGGCCCTTGATCTGGCCTCAGCCGCGGCTCCACACGAGATTGAATGAACGGCTCTTGCCCCTCTACTCGAACAGACAGGCTGGCAAATCGAAACAAGTCAAAGCCATTCCGAGGCCCGGAATCAAGAAGCATTTGGGCCTTGCTGGTCCTCTCTTACTTGCATTTTTGCCAGTCCGCGCTAGGTATAGCGCTTGGCCCTGGCTGCGGCGCCTGGCTGCGGCTCTCCCCAGCAATAAAGACGGACTAGTCGACTTTGGCTTCTACGCCCGGTTCTACGCCCTTTTTTTCTATTCCTTTGCACGGCAAGCCCAGGGGTAAATTGTAGGTGGGCTTGGACAATTGCCGCAACGGGCCTTTTGCTGCGAGGGAACCTTTGTATTTTTTCTTTTTTTTTTTTTTATGCTCCCACTCTCCCATTAGCCGCGCTTCTGGGCATGCAGAAAACGGGTTCTGATGGGTGGAGCAGAAGGGGACATCTGGAAGCGAGATAAACATTATGCTGTGTAGCCGCGGCGGGAAAATGGCTGCAGTTGTCGGACATATTGTCCGGATGCGAAGAAACGCGCATGCTGTAGTATTGCCTTTTGTGAACGACCGCATCGGGATTTTTTTCCCTCTCTCTGTGTTTTTTGACTTTTTGGGCATGGGACGATTATCAGGTGTTTTGGATGGAGGCCGTGGAACCCCCGTTTCTCTGTTTTTTTGCCTTCCCGTCTCTATTTTTAAGCGGCTGCATGGGACGATCCTCGTCAATGACCGGAATAAGACCAAGGATGTCTGGTGGCTTTCTCAATATCCGGCTCTTTCTTCTTTTGCAAATTTTTTTTCTTTGGCAAGGGCTTGAAAATCGGACAATGTTGCTCATGTTTTTGGATAATATTGGATATACCATTGGCATCGGTGTGTCAATACATGTAGTCACTTGCCAGGTTTTACGTGGAAATTGCTTGCTGGTTCTTGGCGCCTAGGCCGTTTACAGGCATCTAGGCGACCTTTACAGGTGTCTGAGCGGCTATAACGAGCGGAATACGCTTCGATATCGTCTCGGAACATGGACGCTGCGGACTCCGGAGTACCGTACATCAGTGGCAAACGTGATGACTAACCGCATAGCTGCAATATGCGTTGGCCATGGCTAGCACCCGTGACCCCTTTGATCCTCCTTCATGCTATTGTATGCACTCTGTAATAGTCCATGTAAAATTGGTCAAAGAGGCATGCGGCCGACATTCAGACTCTTCTTTGCCATGCTGTTCGACACCCCCTCCCTGGCTGCTGCCATGTGGACATCTGGACGTTGAACGGGTCAAAAGGGCGAGGCTCTGTCTCTTGTCCGACTCGCCTCGCTGATACTATCGTCTTGGTGGATTTATTTCCGATTGCCTGCATTGGGGCATGTGCCGCCTTGGCGATGGAGCGACATCGAGAGATACGCACGGAGCAGTGACGCCGTTGGACGCTGCCAACGCCCTCTGCACATGGTAGCGCCGTCTCAGGCGCCAGCCTCAGAACCCCCCTTCAATGTTTTGCTGGTGGATGGGAGTGAGCTTAGGCAATCTGGCTGGAAGCGAATGAGGGGCAAGATGGATGGTAGGATCGGTTCGCACAAAAGGGAATAAAGCTTGCGACCACGCGCAACAAACTTTTGTGTAAGCACGTCGGATTCGACGGCGACTGGCTGCTTCTACTGACGCCGACGTTACATCTTATCTGGAGACTGGGCCGCCTCAGAGCAGTACATACAGCACTACAAGTAGTCAAAAGGGCACGAGCCGTAGCCTTATGAGCCTTTGGATGTCTTGGAATGTCTTTGATCCTTTCCCCCCACGCCTCGAGGGGATACGATTGTCGGTCCTTGGGCGAACGAGCCGTGTGACCCCCCGGTCCGCCAGCCGCATGGATTGATCATTGGGCGATGGGGTGACTGGGAAGGCAGTGGATGCGCGATACGGGGAAAGCGAGCTTGCAGATCCAGAGTTCGTGCCTCCTATGATATCGTTTGGTTTCTATTTTGGTCGCAAACCTAACTAAACTGCTAGTTGTTCGCCGTCTACTGCACCTGAGCCAAGTGCGTTGTCGTCCGTGTCTATGTATCAAGCTTGCGGCCCCCAAAATGTCCAGCCTCATTTCTTGGAGACGCATATCTGGGCGTTTTTCTCTGCGCACGATTGGGCTCGTTGTCCGTCCTTAATGTCTGCCTGATGATCTCATCCGAACGGGAATTGGTCCTCTTGAGCACACGGCATTTGCCGGCTCCGAGGGCGGACGTTTGTCTCATGGACTCGTGGCCCAAGTGTCGGGCGTAGTGCCCGGCGAGACACACTTTTGATCTTTCGTGTCCGTCGTACCTCGCAAAACCGGGTGGCTTGGTGCGTCGTGAGACAGGTCTGCAACCCATCTGGCTCGTCCAGGTGAAATGTTTGTAGTTTCCTCGGCGCAGTCTTGCGCCGCCAATTGCTTCGGATGCCAGTGCGCCCTTTGCAGAGGTCCCTGCATGGCTCAGCGCTCCTTTCATCTGACTCATGAATACCTATAGCAACTCGTCTTTCGTTATGTTCTTCTCAAAACGGCGACGCCTAGGGTGAGCTGCGGAGGGTGAAGGCCAGGGAGTGGAAGTGGCTGGTTAGTTCGTCATGGCTTGTTGGGATCAACGGTCCCTGGTTCAACAGGGGCAGGGGGATCCAATGCACAAACAGGTATGTGCTCCGTTGATGGCCATAGTAAACGATTCAACTCGGGGAGCATACAAGGCAGTTATCCCGTTGTTTAGTTCGGCGAGCCTTTTGGGAAGAGCATGTTTTCATGTGCCATCTTCTATAGCCGTGCGTTACAACTCATCGACTTGGCTGTTTCTCACTCTCTTCTTGACTGGGTTTTGCCTTTAACACATTGATGTTTTGGTATTAGCTAGGAAATCATTGCTGGCTCACACCTCTGTCCTGTTCTTGGGTCGGAGACTAATTCCAGCCTGGATTACGTCCGTTCCGCTCCTTGTATATCTAACAGGGTAATGATAAAGCAACCCTGCGTAGTTGCCACGTTTGTGAAATGTATCAGTACACTGACCTATCTTGCATGAATCCTACGACCGACTATGCCGGGGTATATGAAGGATCAAGCTGTTCCGGCTACTCGCACTCTAATACCGCTGATGCGGTTACCAACTCTCCTATTGGTAAATACCATGCCCTAGACAACATCTGATATGCCACAATAGCACTATCTGTTGGACTGTGCCACCTGTCGCTTCTGTTCTGGCTTGCCGATGAACAAATCTTGGCCGAGCCTTGTTACACGATTGACATGCACGGACTGGGATTTCTCACCCTCCCCGGAAACTAATACTGGGCGTAACTTCTCCGCACTCCATGCCTTGTACCCCAGACTAAGCGTTCGGCTCCTTGTCAATGGCAATACAGGCCGGAGAACACCGGAAGGAGTGTGCTTGTGATACCTTCGCTCAGCCACCTTTTGAAAAGCACGAAGTTGCTGGGATGGGGACGCGCTTTAGGGGTCCATTTGTCTCGGTTGCATGTTTCTCGAAAAGACCTAAACCACCTAATAGGTTGGTTCAGTGCAAGGATTCTCGGACTGTTGAGCTGCAGAGTAACCATAGGACGTTGGCATGTCACGATTTGAACTTGTAGCGGACATAGACATGCAGATCTCGTCCATGCAGGCCTACCTCTCGGCACTAAGATGCTGTCGGCCATGTGCAGTCATAAAAGACGCTTGATGGGCCGTAGGTGTGTATATGACAAAGTTCGTTATCTTTTCTGGTTTGGTGGCCTAATTGAACTGGTATCAAATGGACACCTTGGCATGACTTCAGGACCTTGGGCTTGGGGTTTCGAGGTACTCCGTAGATTGACTAGACTTCACCAATGGCAGGCGATTGTTGCTTCGCAAGTGCCCCATAATTTCAGTAATAACTCATATTTGGAGCATTGGGGACGGATGGAAATTGGCCTTGCGCAAACGGAACGCGTACGCATACACGTATTTTACGTTGCGATGATTTGCGAAGGTCGGATCATCTGGCTGGTTCTCTTTTTGACAGCTCTAGTTGCTCCACAAATCGTATCAATCAGTTGGGGCGGGTACTGGATCCCGTCGGTTGGCGGCAGCAGGATTCGGTAACAACAGCTCCCGCCCACCAAAGCTAGAGCTGTTTCACCGCCCGGCAAAATCTGGGATTTTTTTTTTGCCCGGTTCTTGCATCACACCCTCTTGCTCTCATGTAGATTGCAAAGCTACCGGGGACATTTGTATGAGGACAAAGAAATTAGGACTTTGCTCCTGAGAAGTCATTTGTCACCCCGTCTCAAGCCTCAATTCCGCGTTCGTTTCTTTCCTGCAGCAAGGCCCTGCCTTTCCAGCCCCCATATTCTTCGGATAACTCGCTCGCGAATTTCGCATCTCCCGAACATACGACATTGCAAGTCGTTCCTGGTCGTTCACCTAGACTCTACAATCCGCTGAGTGTATCGGGCTCCTCTGCAGTTAGCGCCATGGTTTCCGCAGAAAAATTGGCAGCCAAAAAAGGCGGTATGTAAGCTCCGGCTCGACTTTGTACATAGCCCCCATCCTCAACCGGGAGCTTGCTGGATGGAGGCGAAGTGACACCGCCTCTCCCGTCATCCCAACTTTTGCATCTCCATAACACGTGTCTTGGCTCGCTTTCCGAATGTAAACCTTGCTGACGAAACCGCTACATTTGTGTGTCATGCAGTCTCAAAGAAGAAGTTGAAGAATGCGAAGAAAGCCGAACTTAGGAGGGCGAAGCAGACCCGGACTGGCAAAGAACTTGCTCTCGCCAAAGAGGAATTTAAACGTGACAAAAAGGCCCAGAAACTTGCACGACGTCCCGCTGTGCAAGAACAGAGACGACAGCGGCTACTGAAGCGATCCAAGCAACTGGAGATTAAGGGAAACAAGCTCCTGCTTGAGGCTAAAAGGGTGGCCGAGCAATACAAGTTGATGACAGAAGCCAAGGAGGTATGTTTGATATGCCGTCGAATCGGCTCCCCATTTTGATATGCGCTGTGCCTTGCCTTACATGGTGCTACCGCATCCAACCGCACACGCCCCTCCTAGATGCCCCAAAACCTCGTGGCTCACGCATACTCTGCAGTCGGCCGACGCCCAAAAGACCCATGATGACGAAGCCTCCCCATCCGAGGAAGGAGATGACGCAAAGCTCTCCACTTCGTCCTCGTCTTCCTCGGACTCGGATGGTGGTGCGTCGATCGAACCGGTCGCCCCTGGCTCCTTTATCATTGATACGAAAAAGCGCCGACGAGAGAGTGATGCTCCTGCCAGTAAGAAACAGGGCGTTTCTGTAGATGAAGGATCCAAATCGAAGAAGAGCAAAATTGCTCCGACTGAGACAAGCTCGGACTCGGACGAACCCAGCAAATCAGAGTCAAAGTCGGAATCAGAGCCAGAAGTAGTTGAAAAGGTGGAGGAGGAGGGAGAAGATAGGAGGGAGAAGAGCCAATATCAGAGAAAGATAATCCAAGATAGGAAGAGGAAGAAGGAGAAGAAAGAAGAGAAGAAGAAGGAGAAGGAAGAGAAGCAAGCAAAGAAAAAGGAGATGAAGGTCAAGAAGGAGGACAAGTACAAGAAGGCAAAGGAGGAGAGACAAGCAAAGAGAGAGATGAACCCCGATGAGACGAATGGAACAAAAACCAAGACCAAAAAGGAGAAGAAATCCAAACAAAACAAGGAACCAGAGACTGCCGAGGCGAATGTTGCTGAACAATGGAACGTCGGTGGCCTTGAAGGGGGAGCCTCCCGCCAAAGCAAATTCATGAGGCTTCTGGGGGGGAACAAGAGCGGAGACGCGTTGGCGAACACGACCAACACCAAGTCGGACTCGATCAAGGCAGAGGCTGATATTCAACGCCAGTTTGAAGAGGGTATGAAGGCCAAGTTTGACGGTGCCAGCCAACGACGCGGGCTTGGGGCGTAAAAATTAACCACGGTCAAGTGTTGAGTCTTCTTTGGTGCTTTTTGGCCGCGTGGGTGTATACGTGGAACCATGATTAGGAGTTCTGATATTTGACGGCGTCGGTTCTACTTCGCCTGCGAAAAAATCAGGGCGTTGGCGAACGATACCAGGCGTTTGCGGCGGTTAGCATAGATCAAAAGTCGAGTTTCGTGTTAATGCTAGTTGTTCTACCGTAGTGTATAAATCAGCAAGTAACTGTCGACATTCATCACTGCTTATTTAACAAAGAGTCTATTGTTGTGCCTGGTGTGTATCTTGGATACTCGACAAGGTGTTTCATACATGCCTAGGTATAGAAAATAAAAGTTGTCCAGTCAGAATTTCTCCAAAGCCTTTGCGTGTAGACGGCCGACTCAGGCAGGCATTAGCTCACAATGGTCTACAGTCTGTGGCATAGCATATTGGTATGTTGCCTTGTTGACACACATACACTGCAAGATTATATACTATCTTGTAAATGTGTTGAACTCAAAATAATGTGCTACACGTAAATTGAACATGAATGCAGGTATATTGCCATTAATTTAGCTATTAGCATACAGAGTAGAAACATGTATTTGGTGCGAAATGATCGTCAACGTGGAGACGAACCAACCGGCCCCTAAGTGTTCCTGAATACACTGGGCACATAGATGCCACTTGAGATTACAGAGTTGCAATACCTTCCGTTCTAGTTGTGTGTAATCCTCATTCCGCGATCCATCATCTCTGTGGCGGCCCAGACATCCAGCACCAAATGATGGTTACAAGCCCCGGAGCTAACCTCATCAATGTGATTGATATTCATGGTGCCTGTGGCCCAATGGCTATGGATACAATGTCTAGAATACAACGGCATGCCCGTGGATCTCGCAGCCCCCTCCTTTTTTAAATGCTCATCCCCGGTCCAGCTATAGTTTCGCCATCATCTCTGCCTCTCTCTCCGCCCGCCGCTCAGCAGATCGTCTCTTGAACCGCACCTCTGCTCTGCGACGCTCGCCACCGTCAATCTTTCTCCCGCGGCGCTGCTCCCACATGCCCTCTGTAACTTTGACGACGGCACCTGCCCCCTCGGGAAGGGGCGTGGCGTACGGGCCGGCTATGGACTTGAGTCCGCGGACTGTGTAGCCCTTTGGCCGGGGTAGCGCCGACGACTCCGACGTTGGGGCCTCGGCTTCGGGCTCCTGGCTGTGAGGGACGTTGACGACCCATTTTGCGTCGCTGACCACCGAGGCAGGTGGCGTGGCGACCTTGAGAATGGCCTCGCCGTCCTTGACGAATTCGAAGTCGCCGCCGGGACCGAGCGCGCCTCTGCGGTATCGCTGCATCCACTGAAGGAGATAACGTCTGTTTCGCGGCGGCTCGATCCCCAGCTCTCTGAGTTCAGGCGAGGTGAGGGCGAAGAGGGAGTCCCATGACGGGAATTTGGAGGCGTGTTTGTTCAGGCCGCGCCCGATGAGGGTCAGGAAGGTAGGTACGTCGGGGACAAAGGGGCGAGGCTGGGGTATCGTATGCGGAGGTCGGGTCTTGTGCAAGTGTCTGATTTGGATGCCGTGGGAGAGAGGTGAATTTGCGAAGAGGCGCAGAGAAGCTCGGAGGCCGGGGGCCCTCATCTTGGCTGGATTGGAATTAGCAATTTTGTGCCTGGAGAGCGTGGGGTTGAAGAGCCGTAGCGGTGACGATGATAGGAAGGAGTTGCATTCTGCCATACCTTTCTTGTTTTGTGGATTGGCGCACTTGGCCCAAATTGTCGCCTGAACTGTCCACGCAAAAGCTCCTGCAAAAGGCATCACCAACCATAAATTTGTTGGTTAGTTAGGTAAGCGAGGCTGGGTCAATTGGTCCGTTGTGGAGTAGATTCATAGCTGTTGATTGGTGAAGGCATTACCTCACTGTGGGGTTGACAGCCAGGCTGATCAGCTTGGCCAAAGAGTGTAAGGCACCAGTTATTAGTTAACCTCTTTTAACTTCACTGCTTCACTTCCGATTTTATGTCTTTCGCAACTGTCAACGCCCTGTCTTCCAGGTATCTCCGCTGAAAATGTCGTGAGCTGCTGCATCATGAATTCGACAGGTGATTCCGTCTACGCATTTTTTTAAATGAAAAATGCCGAAGAAGACTCCGGCGCGAAGGCCGTCTAAGCCGCCGGCGTTGGCGACAATCGACCTTGGAGAGCAAGGTTTGTGAATCCGAGGAGTTTTGCGATGAAAAATTGCTCACTTTTCATTGAAAAGATCCTATTCCTTCTGCTGTGGTCGAGTATTTCACAGCCTTGCCCTCGACGGGCGAAATTGAAGCCCCGAACAGGGTAGATTCGTCTGCGAAACGTCGCAAGATCACGTCCGAGCCATATTCTCCGATTTGCGTGGCAAAAGCAAGTTTGCTATTTTATCGGCCATTTATTGACGTTAAAACTTCCTCTTTTGCTTCAACATGTGAGGACGCGGGCCGATACTTGAAATTTACGTTGGAACATGGGGTTTTGTCAGTGACATCACGGCCAGGAGCCCCGCAAGGCTTCTTCTCTCTTAATATTTCATTGAACGGGGATGAGATTGAAGATGAAGCGACTCGTATTCTCGGTATTGGAGGTGCAAATGCGAAGCGCGATAGTCCTGGTGATATCTGGGTTGGAGTAGCAACATCGATGATCTTGCATGACAAGGTGATAACCATGCAAGTTTCGCTGTCCTTGAACTGGAACGAGACACCGTCACCATACTATCCGTTACCAAACTCAAACGATCGAAAATTAACGAGACGGCTTATCAACTCTATTTTCCGCGACACCGAGAGCGAAGACCTAGCGGCATGGTCGCCTATGGACTTTTATGAGGCGGCGCATGTACCACCGAAGGATGACAAAGTCGCTCTTAATATTGACATTCCCGGTCTAGAGTCAGAATTATTTCCGTACCAGAAGAGAACGTTGCAATGGCTTTTGGCAAGAGAAGGTGTGCGGTGGTCCCAGGCAAAAGCAACGCTAGAATCGACTGCCATGGATCATCATTCAATCTCAATCGACAGCTTCCGCACCGTTCAGGATGCTGATGGAAGAACTGCATTTTTGAGTGATGTGTTTCAAACCATCACTAGAGATAAAAGCTTGTACAAACGAGCAGACAGGTTTGTAAAAGGCGGTATATTGGCAGAGGAGATGGGACTTGGCAAGACCCTTGAGATCTTGGGACTCATCCTCCTTCATGGTCGTGTAGAACACCAAGCTCAGCAAAACGGACTTAGGATGGACGGTCTTGCCACTACTGGAGCTACATTGATTGTAACTCCCGAATCATTGCGGCAACAATGGATATCAGAGATCGCACGGCATGCCCCGAGTCTGCGGGTAAAGCACTATCAAGGGTGCAAGAAAATGAAGGATGCAGACGAGGAAACAATTATTGAGGAACTCTGTGGGTACGATGTTGTTATTACAACATATTCCGTGCTCTCCGCCGAACTGCATTTTGCATTTGAACCTCCTCAGCGACCTCGTAGATACGAGAGAGCATACCCTCGAACAACATCCCCTCTCGTCAAGATAGCGTGGTGGCGGCTGTGCCTCGATGAGGCCCAGATGATTGAAAACGGATACAGCCAAGCAGCCTCCGTTGCGCGCGTCTTGCCTCGCATTAATGCATGGGGCATTACCGGCACGCCAGTCAAGGATGATGTCAAGGATCTCTTCGGCCTCTTGCTCTTTCTAAGGTATGAGCCATATTGCTCCGCATCACAGGTCTGGCAAGCACTCATTACGAGCCATAAACCTTTGTTTCAACAAATATTCAACTCAATTTCATTGCGACACACCAAGAGTATGGTGCGAGACGAGATCTTACTTCCTGCTCAAAAAAGATTTGTTATTAGCATGCCTTTCACGGCCGTTGAAGAACAGCACTATCAATCCTTATTTAAAGAAATGGTCGATGAATGCGGCCTCGAGACTGATGGGTCTCCCAAGGAGCATGATTGGGACCCTGAAGAGCACTACGACAACATGAGAGTTTGGCTGAATCGATTGCGCCAGACTACATTGCATCCCGAGGTTGGCGTATACAATCGCCGCCTGCTGGGCTATAACAAGGCGCGCCCAATGAGGACTGTTGATGAAGTGCTGACCGCTATGCTGGAACAAAGCGAAAATACTATTAGGGCAGAGGAGAGAGCACATTTATTGAGTCGTCTGGCTCAGGGCCAGATGTATGAAAACAGCCCGCGCGTGAAGGAAGCATTGGTGCTGTGGGAAGATGTAAGACAAGAAACTGAAAGACTCGTCTCAGATGCCAGGACAAAACTCAAGGATACAATCCGAGAGCATGGCGGAGAAGAGGCAGTAAAGAAGGCTGAAGAAGAGAACCATGCTCGCGATTTGTCGGACACGGACGACGAACAAGACGAGCTGGGAACCAAGGGTAAAATTGGAGAGTGTCGCCGACGACTTCGTTCAGCCTTGGAATTGCATCATAAAGCTGTCTTCTTTTGCGCCAATGCTTACTTTCAAATCAAAGACAATAAAGACTTGACGGAACCAGACTCTGAAGAGTTTCAGCGGCTGAAAAAGCTCGAAGATGACGGGTATAATGCCGCAAAAGCATTGAGAAGAGAGATCTTGGGGGAGAGTAACCGCAAAGCGACGCGGCTTATGAATAGGATTTCCCGCAAAGCGGCCTCTCGAACCTTTGTGGATATACCTGAGCTTTCTACAATTCCTGAAAAGGGAATTGAAAGTAGCCGAATTGTCGATGACCTCGAGATACTATACGACGAATTGAACAAGCAGGCAGATGTCATTGATGGGTGGCGTGAAGAAGTTGTTCAACTACTTCTAAAACCATTGGTTGACGAAGATGATGACGTCGAAACCACTGGAGAAGAGCTTGGCGACTCTGCCAAGTTCCAGGACTTGCTTATGGTCTATGTTACCACCTTGCGAGCTGCTATTGCCGATCGTCAAGACGCAATCTCTGGTCAGACAAATGAATTGGCCAAGCATGAAACCGAAACTTCTCTCCGGCTGGCAAGGGCTGGGGAGGGTCCAGCGCCCGTCAAAATGGTCCAAATGCTTCGACTGAGAGCAGAAATTAAGCCCAAGGTGGCCCATTCATCCATGAGAGGTGCCGTAAGTGAGTTTCGTGGCCTGCAATCCCGGTTGTCGCGCGACACGGCTACTACAAGCCGTGAGGCCGTGGAGGCCAAGATTGCTTCGGACCAGCTGAAGGCAACTCAAACCGAGATTAACAATCAAAACAAAGCGGCAATGGCACTGGAATCGGAAATTGAAAGCTTCAAAGTGGCCATGAATGCGAGATTGGAGTACTATCGTCAACTGCAGGCAGTTTCGGACGCCGTGCTCCCACTGGAAGGGCCCAAAGACGACAACGCGATCAACAAGTTGAAGCAGACAGCAGATGAGCTGCGTCGAAAACTTTCTTCGGCCGAAGCGAAACATAGGTACCGTAAGTTACAAAACTAACCCTCTGCCAACGATCCAGGTGTTTGGTTCTAACTTGATAGTAGTTTTGAACCTGAAAGAAGCGGGTGCCAAGTCAAACGAGCCCCGAATGTGCGTCATTTGTCAGATGCCCTTTGTCACCGGCGTCCTGACCGTCTGTGGCCATCAATTTTGCAAGGAATGCATGACGTTGTGGTTCAAAGCCCATCACAACTGCCCCGTGTGCAAAAGGGGCCTGAAGCCATCCAACCTGCACGACATTGCCATAAAACCGCAGCAGTTGCAGGTTCGCAGCGAAGGGGCCAATGATGAGGGAGGCTCGTTGCCACGACGGGTGAGTGGCAATTCGCCAAAAAAGACGGCAATCTACTCCGAGTTCAACGCGGACAAATTGGCCGAGATTAAAAACGTGGAACTTGATGGGCCGTCATTCACAACCAAGGTTGACACCCTTGTGAGGCACCTCCTCTGGCTGAGAGAGTCTGACCCCGGTGCCAAGTCGATTGTGTTTTCCCAGTATGTCTTCAATCGTCCTCTCTGCCTTGACGCAAACCCCGTCCATTCCATTCCCCCATGCTAATACGTGGCAAACCTGCAGATATCGCGACTTTCTGCACATCTTGCGCAACGCATTCAGACGGTTCCGCATCGGCCACGCCTCCATCGACGACGTCAACGGCATTGCTAATTTCAAGGAAGACCCCGCCACTGAAGTATTCCTGCTTCATGCGCGCGCCCACTCCAGCGGCCTCAACCTCGTCAACGCGAGCCACGTCTTCCTGTGTGAGCCTCTGCTCAACACGGCGCTCGAGCTGCAGGCCATTGCGCGGGTAGACCGTATCGGGCAGCAGCACGAGACCACCGTGTGGCTTTACCTGGTGTCCGGCACCGTCGAAGAGAGCATTTACAATCTCTCGGTGCAGCGACGCATGGAGCACATGGGCCGCCGGGCCGCCGGAGCAAAAGGCACGGCCACGCCGGAGCTGCTGGATGCGAATATCGAGGCGGCCAACACGCTCGAGCTGGAGCACGCGGCGCTGTCCAAGCTCATGAGCAAGGACAAGTCGGCGGGCGAGGTGGTGGACAAGGGCGACTTGTGGGCGTGCCTCTTTGGGCATGTTGGTGCGGAGGACGGCGGCGGCGGCGAGAGGGACCGCAGGCTGCAGGATGAGGCTGTCATGAGCTATTTGGCTGGAGAAGCGGCGGAGCGGAGACGCCACGAGTGAGAAATCTTTTGTGAAGACATGGTGCGGTATGCTTGCACGTTGCTATGATGAACGGTATATTGCGACAGGTGTACAGTCTGCGGCAGCATACATTTACCCACTGAGAAGCATACAAATAAACCGTCATATATTACAACATGGACCGCGATGGCCAGGTACCTGATCTGGTCCAATACTTTTCCCCCTCCCACTGTAGCTTGTTATCTACGGCGTACACGTACGATACTGGCAGACTACGCTTAGCCGGGCCTTTTGCTAGTGGGAATGAGGGCACGCTTAGCACATGAAGGAGAGGACGGGACATGGCTCTCGTTCAAGCTTGTAGTATGACTAGGGTTTTAATTTTTTTGGTGCAATAGTAAAATCCTGACGCTGTCGTACATAATACTGCGCGATAGCTTTTATTTATCCGATGCCCCTGGCCGACTCATACCCCATCCCCCCTTTTCCCATCTCCTAGTCAGACGGAAATCTAGAGCGCCACGGTTTCGACGCCTGCCCGTCTACACGCGGATGATTTCGTATTACAGGTTGCTTATTCTCATACAGCCATCACACAAGGTGACAGTTGGTGTTGCCCACACAGAGCTCATCTTACAGACCCTGTTGTTTTTGGGAGAAGAAAAAACACAGGGCTCTCTTCTTTAGCAAGAAGAAATGTCTACTCGACAACCTTCTTCTTGGGGGTAGACTTGACGCGCTTCGCGACGGGGCGGTTGATGTGGTGGTCAGGGATCCAGCTCTCGTCGTAGGTCTTGCTGCCGGTGGTGGCGGCAGCGGACTCGGAGCCGGAGAGGGCGGCGTCGGCGTCGGCGGACTTCTTGGCCTTTTTGGGGCCGCTGGATGAGGACTTGGAGCGCTTGGCTTGCGGGAAGAGGGCTTCGATCCAGGTCTTGTAGACAAAGTAGAGGGTTCCGCCGAACGCGGCGGACAGGACGAGGTAGAGGAAGATGCTGGGTGGGATGGTTAGTCAAATCTTTTGAATGGATGCTCGAGCATGGGCAGGGAGGAGACTGTAGGTACATTTGCGGGTCGAGGAAGCTGGTGGGAGCTTCGACAATGGCGGCGAGGCCATCGTGGGCCTGGACCTGGTACATGTCGCCGTTGGCGTTGGTGATGACGGCGGCGATCTGCAGCTTCACATCCTGGGGCTGCATGTCAAGGGCGAAGGAGTAGGTGAAGCTCTTGGTCTCGCCGGCCTCGATGGCGTGGTTGTACTGCACGACCGTCAGGTTGCGAATGATGCCCTGGTAGGCGGGGGTTCCCTCGGGGAGAGTCTTGGCGGTGGCCAGGACGCCGGCGAGGACGGAGATTTGGATGGGCGCATCTTCCTTGTTGGTGATTTCGACGAGGGCCTTGGTCGGCCGGCCGTTGATGAGGCGCACGCCGAGGATGTCGGAGTCGGGGAAGGTGGTCTTGACGACGGCAGCGAGATCAGGCGTCTTGGGGGAAGCACTGTCGTCGGCGGCGGGCGCAGCGGCGTCGGCCTGTGAGGGTCGTCGAGTTAGGCGTGAGTGTTTTGTCCTTGAATTGATAATGAGTGGTGATTTTCATACCGCAGCCGCGCCAAAGATGTGCAGAGCAAACACGGAGAGCAACGAGGAGAACAACATGGCGGACAGGTGGGCGAGACGCAAGCAAGGAGCAGAAAGAGACCAAAGAGCGATGGGGGCAAGAAGGGATGAGTCGGGGGGATAAAGAATCACGATTCTGGCGACTCAATTGCGGGATGGGGAGGCAAGGTCGAAACAAGGAGATGGAGGTCGAGGCCGAAGATGAGGTCGAAGTTGACGCTGAGGTTGGACTTGTCATTGGTGGAGGGAGCGCACGCGAGATGCAAGTGGGGCGAGGTGTCTGGGCAAGGTCTGGCAAGGTGGCCTCTGTAGACTGTTGGTCTGTCCTTTTCGCTCCGCTTGAAGTGGGACGTTAACTTGGATAGGATAGCTGGCCTTGACTCATGCATCGGCCCTCAGGTTTCGAAGCATCAATTGTTTGGTGCCGCTTCACACAGGAAACATCGCCTTCAGAGACAGACTCGGCAGAATGCCCAGTATAGGCGCCAAGAACACCGGGCGGACTGTCCAGACAAGATGCACGTCGATGAGCACCAGGCACGAACTGGTGGGCTCCAGTGCATGTAGCATGATGGCTCATCGCTCTATTTCAACATCTTTCATCACCTGATGGCCTATGGTGGCCAAGTCGTCAGGCACTGTGAGTGACGGCGTGCTATGGTTCCCAAGAGATGAACCAAGTCGCGGGTTTATGCTGGCAGATACACTGGGCCATTCGGTGTCTGGCCAGGAATATCACGTCTGTGAGAGGGCAAGCGTGGTTCTAGCTGTGTCGAGAGCTGACAAGAAACCAGCGTCCTACACATGGAAATACGTGAAGTAGGGGTTCCCATCTATAACGTCGACGTTTACCTATAATCCACCATGAGGTGAACCGTAGCTATACATATGTACTCTTGCTACATGTTCCCCCGAATGCCCTGGACCCTAATTGAACTCGTGCTGCCCTGTCATGGCCCGTGTTGTTTGGAAATATAACAAGGCATGTTTTGATCAATTACTACAGCAACTCATCTCAATCCGCAATAAGACTGATAAACATTTCCGGCTCACTGGCCTCAGTGGCATAATCGTGTCCACGCTCGGATGCAATCGAAGAAAAACTCTATTGGGATCCCATGAAACAAACCCCTGCACTAGTCTCACACTCAAGGCTTTCGAAATGCGCGAGGACTATCTCTTTAGATGCGGAATGGCTCGTGGAGACTCTCCTATCTAAGACAATTGTATGGCAGAGGAGTCTCCACGAGCCATTCCGCACCTAAAAGAGATGACTCGCAAATGCATGACTTGAGCCTGGACAAGAATAGAGTCTGGCCATGTGCATTGCAATATCATATAGTCTGTAGCAGATATATTAATTACCCACCCAGAAATAGTACGCGCCAGCCTCCCAATGTATATGGCGGCACTTGGGCAAAGATGAGTTTTGCTTTCTTCCTTCTTCCTATTTTCTTTTTGCATGTAGATGCGACGTCCTTCATCAAATAACACGGTATAGCCATGGCGTCCAAGCAATTGTGCGTCACGGCCAGAATCAGCTTAATCGTAGCACTCTTTATAATTTCCCTCCAACTGCTAGCTTATCTCACCGCATCTTCATTACAGAGCCCATACACGAGGGACTCGAGGAAAGGGACGCCGCGTTTGGCCAGGCAAATACCCGCGAGTGAGCTCTTGTCCCGCCACCCAACAGACACCAGGGGTCGGATTCCCAAGATCTTTCACCAGAGCTGGAAGACTTTGGAGCTTCCGGCGCGATTCCGACACTGGAGTCTGTCGTGTCGTCGGAAGCACCCAGACTGGGAATGGGTCGTCTGGACCGACGAGGATAACCTGGCGCTGGTGCAGAAACATTTTCCCTGGCTTGAGGAAGCCTACCGCGGCCTGCCGGGAGTCATCTATCAGGCAGACCTGGCGCGGAATCTTTACATGTACATATACGGGGGGTGAGTGCGCCGCCAAACTTGCCCCAAGCATACATGGCATGGCCGTGCTTGTTGCCCGCTACACAATGGCTAACGGCTTCAATGTTGCCTCAAAGCGTGTACGCCGACCTCGACACCGAGTGTTTACGCCCGACAGAAGACCTGCAACGGGTGCATGGATCGCTGTTTAATCAACAGGATGGCATTCCTGTGCCGGCCACGGCAATCTTTGGCCGAATGGGCAACGACCCTGACTTTGAGCATTCGATTCCAAATGCCTGGATGGCTTCGACGCCCGGCCATCGGTTCTTTCTGGCCGCGCTACAGGACTTCATGGACCTGTATAACCAGACGACGCGAGAGGGCCCAGAGTTCCCTGATCCAGAGAGCGTGACTGGCCCGGTCGCGTTGCGAGATTCCCTGGCCCGGTACGAGAGCAACAGGGTGCTGCATGGGCCTGGCATCAGCGACGCCGTCGCCGGCCTCGCTCGCGGCGGGCCTTTTCCGCACACGCCTGCCGAGGAACCACGGGTGCTTTTGCTGCCGAGCCATGCGCTGTACGCGTACAGTTGGGGCGGGGACGGAGAGGACGTGCGTGACATGTGCTGGGTGGTCAACGATGGTTTCGACGCTGGGCGCTGCAAAGAGCGGCTGGACACTCGTGGCAGAGGAAGCATATCCATCACCTATTGGAGCCACACGCATTCTCCAACCGGCCACGATGAGGAGAACATGAAGCACATTACCGAGTGAGTCATGTTGGTCTGAGGCATGAGGATGGCTTCGACGAACCAATACCGACACTGAATTGGTAGTATACTGGGCAGGATTGAGGAAGGACTTTGCAAGTTGCGTAAAGTTGTGATGCGGCTGGCTTGCACGGTTCTCAGGCATTGAACTTGGTGGTACAGTGCGACAAGGGCTTATTATATAACGGAACGGCAGTTCTGTTCAGCCAATTTGCTTTGATATCAAAAGTCAGCTGGTCCTTGACTTTCCCCAAAGCCCTTGGGGCAGATGACCTTCGTTCATACAAACCAGCGGTCACACTTCAGCCTTCCAGCTGAGACCCGTTGGTGTGAAGCTGATTTTGTGTGACAAGGGTTCAACATAGAAGGCTTAGAGCAAAAAGGGCTCAATTTAATAATAATCTCGAAGGGTCTCTAAGGTCTTAAGTTACTATAAAAGAGAAAAGAAAAGATAATTACCTTATATATAAGAAAAAAGTACCTAGGCTTAAAGCTCTTATTTAGGTATATATTTAAGTTATATAATTAATAAGTCTTAATAAGACCCTTTTATTAGGCTTTATAATCTGATAGGCCTTTTCCGTGTAATATATTGACTCGCGAGGCAGGAGTGTCGAGGTCTGTTTTCTTGAAGATAACTTTGGGTGCATCTGAACAAAGACTTGTCTAAATAAACGGGTTTCAACTAAAGTACAGCAGGGAAGGAAAAAAATGTCATTGTGCTGATTGCCACGTACCCTGGTGTTTTGAGTGCACACAACGCTGTGCCACTTTACCAACTATCAGGCATGGATATTGCAGAGGCTAGCAGGAGCGCACCGTATTTTTCAGATGTGGTCACGAGCATTTTACTCGAACTTGCGGGGCCAGCTTTGACTCCAGGAGTGAATTTTACTGTCGATCTCACAGTAGGGTTAGGGTTATGGGCGCAGAAGCTTTTACTGAAAGCAATATATGGCTATTATTTTTCTGATCCTTTAAAGCCCGAGGAAACACAGTTTGCGGCAGACGGGAGGACAATAAAAGTGGCATTTAACAAGCCCATTATCCGTCATGTTGAGAATCTCCTGAGGGCTGTTCAAAGGAACAATAAGGACCAAGCTGTGTATTGACACTTTTCCACTGATCAAGGTCGGTCCGCAGGCACGGCCCGCACGTGGCACTTGGTTGGCCTTTGAGTTGAAGAAACGGCATAACGGGTAAGGTTTAAACGGTCAATTGTGGAGCACTTTAAATGGGGCATTATCGGCCCCCTCCGAGGCCAGCCCCGAAGCTAACCCTGACCCTGGAATTTACTGCTCGTTGTGTTTAGAATCGACTTGGAATACACTGTGAATAAGCTGTCAATAGAAAAAAAAAGGCCGATAATTCACGACTAGAATAAGGCTCGCTATATCAGGATGAGATATTGCGGCGCCAGCGAAACGGTGGAAGACGATTTTGGTTTACAAAGCAATGTGCAACACGTTAAGGCCTTGGTGAAGATGGCGTCCATGCTTATTGAGGATGTCTTTCACTGCCATGATGTCGATAAAACCGCGCCATTTTATTCGTCTATTTGGTCCTCAACCCACGTTGATACTGAATCATCGGAAATGTATAGTGCCACGAAAAACATCTCGGAACCAACTCGCTGATATGGATGACAAATGGAAGCATGACCAAGCCATATCCCCAGGGGAGTGAAATGGGAGCATGTTGGGACTGCCTACACTAGGATTAGCGAGGTCTGGCAGAAACCAGTTTTCCCAATCCATTCGGCACATCCAACAACTGCGGTCCTAGCTGCTGATGCTGACTATGGCGGCGGCGCGCCAATTCACTGCGGCCACGTTATGTCTCCCTACTTGCACAAGATTTGTTCGGGACATTTCATGACAGAAGGCGGTGTTTACGGCTGACTCGTAAATGCTAAGACGGAGTCTGCCAGTAGACAGCACTGAGACAAGCCACGGTAACCTGATTACGGAGTCTAGTAAACAATGACAAGTCATTACGGGCTGTGCATCGTGTCCTTGCCCCTGAGAGACGAATACCAGAGATGAAATCGCCGAAAAGCCATGGACTACTTGGTCGTAGACCCATCTAGAGACGGTGAGACGTCGACCAATACCACAACTTGCGGCGACAATGGCACATGGCCACAAGTACGCAATCACGCTTGCTCCGCCACCATGAACTGGAGCTGCCTATCAAGTTGTTGCGGCATGTCATTGAGGCAAACCTGGGTCGATGGCGCCGTATAATCGATGTGTATAGTAGAAGCATGTATAGTAGAAGCACGGTGTGCATACTGGCGCCTATACACGACAGCCCATGCGAGCATTGACCCGAGTGCCGATAGCATGGCAATACTACACAGGCTACGCTTGGATTTTATCCCAAAGGGTCCAAATATTGTCTCAGCCGTAGGAGACGGGGCCACTCTCTACCTCTAGCACCATCTTGGCAAGTCGTTGCATTGAATGCAAGCGGGCTAAAAAGCGCCGATATGTGGAGCCGAATCCAAGGAACAAGGTCCGACGATGGTCTTTTTGACAGACTCTAGACCCGTTTCCGTTGCCCGGCCTGCTAGTATCAACGTCTAGCATGAGTCGAAACCTCAGGTCATCTTGCAGGCTCCAGGGACATGCGCTAGACTCTGTACTTTGCAATGCGAGTTGTAGTGCGCTTTGCAGATGCGAGTACGAAGAGGAAGGGTTGACATCTCTAGAACCGTATAAATAGGGCTAGAATGCCGCCCTCATTTAAACCTTTGTCCGATATCACTTTCCACAATACACCGCACACTATTCACATAAACCTCCTCCCTAACCGTCAAACAAGCAATCAACATGAAGTCCTCAGTCGGTCTCGTCGCCATCATGGCTGGACTCGCCATGGCCAACCCCCTCGCCGCCTCGACCAAAACTGCCCGAGGATACATCACCAGCGATGAATTCAAGTATCTCCGCGTCGCGCTAGTCAGCTGCCTCGAGGCCAACGTATGTTTTTTCCCTTTTGGCCCGTGAATCTGCTTCCACGGCAACGCGGCACTAACGTCTTGTCAAGCCCCCCAAGGATGCGGCCGTTTCAACCTGGGCCACGTCCATCGCGTCCAAGTACACTGTAAGTATCACTCGCCAGCTGAGACTAAACACGTCGGGGTTGTGCTCACAGAAAATAGACTATGGGTGAGATTGTCCAAGCCATTGTGGAGTGTGAGGCGAAGGAGGCCAAGGCGAAGCAGGCGTAATATGGATTAGTTGGCTGCGGTTATGAGGTTCTCACTTGGTTGAAGCTCGGCCGTGACGGATCCAATAGACTTCTTTTACTCCTGACTTGGAACTAGGTTGCATGTCCAAGTGATGAATCTTGTAGACTTGAATCCACGCCCTCATTTACTTGCACTTTTGTCCAGGACATTCAAGCCGTCAGCCTGATGTACATATACGATAACTGATTATTTAGAACTGGATAGGCCGCTATTTGAGCCATACCACGGTTCTAGGCGGCTCCTGCTTTTACGTGCCGTTACCAAGGTTTGGGGAATTACGTGCTGCTCTAATTTTGTCCGTTGAATAGGACTTGTTTGCCAACCGCCAATTTGAACTCGGTGAAGGCGTTGTTACTCAGGGATCTGTCGCTACAACATCTTCCTTACCTACAATTCTACTAGCCGCCACATTACTATCCCAAGGCAGCTTCGCACCGACGGGGTCACATGTGCGAAAATCACAATTCATGACCCTTGGGTTCCTGTGGATATAAGCTAGGTCCTAGGCACGCGTTATATCGATGCGTCAGGCAAATAAAGAGATTTGTAGGATACAGTCTCTAGTTAAAGAAATCAAAAAACCAAATCCTGGTTGAGAATCGATTCTTGCTACCAAAACAACTTGGCACTATAGTGTACTCAAGTTTCAGTGTCTGAAATTGACAAGCGGTCAACATTACGATTCGCCATTCGGGACCAGCTGCTTTCACATCTGCACAATTTATACAAGCAGTTTTGGAAATTCATCCATTACATCTACTTCAAGGGCAAAATACCAACTTGTCCATTTCGCCAGAATATCTCAACATGCAGCACTCGCGCCCCCAGCCAACTCCATGCCACTCAGCCAACAACGCCTACGTATTCGGTCAATACGTATCTCAGATAAATACTCTATTGACTTTTCTCCCCGCCACAAACTCCGTCTTGATGCGTCAGTCACTCACCGCCACCCCAGCTAATACAGACTATCGCCCGAGCCGCAGTTGTGTGTCTTCTCAGCCACGTCCACGGCATCAGCCCAGTCATCAAATGCTCTCCTGACACCCCGTTTGCTTCTTGGGTTAATCGTCGTCTTGTTCCTGGGCGGAACACCGTCCAGGCTCAGCGCGAATTGGGCGGCAACCCGGGCCGCGGCCTTGGTGTTGACAGTCAGGGCATCCCAGTTGATGTTGTTGACGGTATCGCAAGCCTGGTGGTAACACGGGTCAGTGTCGGGCGAGGCACCGGTGAATAGGCCCGACGACGGAATTCCCAGGTTGAGAAAGGCGACGTAGTCGGACGAAGAACCGAATTTCCTTTTTTTCCCCCAAGTGTTAGCTGTTTTTGCTTCGTGGCCCTTTGTAGATGCTGGTCAGTGGTCACATACTTGTACTCGGCTGGCTTGCCCTGAGCCTGTAAATAGTCGAACAAAGGTGCGCCACCAAACTTGTGTCTCTCGTCGTTTGCGTAGACGACAAACTCGGGATGGGGCGATCCAATCATGTCGTAGTTGAAGTAGAACTTGATGCGGTCGGCTTCCGCCTCGGTGAGGTTGGAACCGTAGTACAACGATCCGATCAAGCCGCTCTCCTCTGCTCCCCACCACGCGACGCGAACCGTATTCTTGATGCCGTCATATCGAATCAACTGCTCGATAATCTCCAGCAAGGCGGCGGTTCCGCTGCCGTCGTCGTTGACCCCGGGCCCCGGGAGGACGCTGTCCAGATGGGCGCCCAGCATGACGACATTGTTCTTGTCGCCGGCTTTGGTCTCCGAGATGATGTTCCACGTCTCGCGGGTTTCGGAGACGGCATCGACGACCAGGGTGACGCTGAGCTTGTCGCCCGCGGCAACACGCGCGGCCCAGGCTTCACCGTCCTCTAGGGCAACGAGCCCGGACGGAATCAGCTTGCCGACGTTTTTCGCCTGCAGCGTAGCGGTGCTGTAGTTCTTGCCGGGCGTGTTGTTGTAGAAGATGACGGCCTTGGCTCCGGCTGCCTTTGCCAGCAGCGTCATGTCGGCAAAGGCGCAGCCTCCTCGCTTCAGCAGGGCAACCTTTCCCTGGGCATCAATGTTCTTCCACTGGTCCTCAAAACAGCCGCTGCCCCGGTCCGCCTCGTAGGGCACATGGACGAGCTCGCCCGTGATGCCGTCGGGAAGGGGAGTGCCCGGGTTGTACTGGAGGGAGATGACGTACACTTGGGCGCCGTCGGGGCCCTTGACTTGGATCTTCTTCACTTGGTGGAAGAGGTGGTCAAAGGGCTGGACGAAGGTGTCGAGGTGTTTGCCAAAGCGGTTGACGACGCGTTCGAGGACAAAGTCCAGCGACGCCTTGTAGCCGCTTGTGCCAAACGCTCTGTTTCCACCGTGGTCGTCGCCGATCTTGTTCAGATTCCAGAGGATGTTTTCCAGCCTGTGCGAGTCAGAAGCAGGCGGGGACGGGCGCGACAAGAGCCGACTCACCGGTCCTTTTGAATGCCGGCCTCCACCTTGTCCGGGGTGAGAAGCTCGGTGGCGGCGGTTGCCGTCAACAGGCCGGCGTAGAGGCAGGCATTGTACAGCTTCATGGCGCAAGAAGGTGGAAAGTATGATGTGTTGGTCGAGTCAATGGGCAAACGCGGTCACGAGGGCCGTCACGAGAGCGGGCACGAGAGCGGGCACGACGATGACGAGTAAAGCGTCGATGTCGACTCTGAGTCTGGAGGACGGCAAGCACCGACTCTCTCCCGCGCATTAAATACGTTTTGCAAACAACAACACGAGACCAAGTCGGACGTGGGTTCGGTTGCACGCAATGTTGTATCTTGTCACTGCCAAGGCCCCAGCCCCTTCCAAGTTGCGACTTATAAAGCATTGACGGTTTAAGCTTCAATTGCAACTGCCTATTTCGGCTACTATGCGGGGATCCCATCCAAACATCTGCACAAGTCCCTTGGCGCCACGGCAGTCCGCTATTGCGTATCTCGTTTTTTGTGGGAACCTGCCCCTTGCGGTGAGGAGATGGGAAGGTCGGCCGTCTTGGGTTGACATGTTGTCGTCGGGTCCAAGGCGTGTGAGACATGTTGAATCCGGTACGCCGACGCGACGAGCAGAATTGCGCAATGTGGCGCATGTCAAGAGTCAAGACCCAGGAGTCAAGAGCCAATATACACCTGCGTGCCGGCAAAGGCGGACCAATCATCTCATGGCTCTTCCTCGGCCCATGACAAACGAGGAAGCTGGTCAAGACCCGAGACTGTTCTGGCCTTCTAGACTTTTCAGCTTTATTTTTAAGCTGGAGCGTATGTATGCCGCATCGTGATTACATATGTATTGGTGGGACTTTTTGAGCGCTGCAGGATTCGGGCTGCCCGGTCAAAGAGAAAACTACGGTTGGCGGTGGAACTTTTTGGGCCATGCAGGGTTGAATCGAGCGGTTTGGCCGAGTCTTGTCTATCTGAGATTGACCTTGCACTTTTGTACAAACGGCTTCTCCTCACACGGCTGCTGAATATCTGGTAATGGGTTGTCAAAAGGTACCACAAACCAATCACCATAATAGCCACATCTGTATGCGAAACTGCCCGTTTATACCATCTGCCATCTACCCAAGTTACTATAAATACCATGTATGATGCTGATGTCCTCTGCACAGACAACTAGCTACATCTTGGATACAATATTGCGACATGACCCATACTTTGAACATGAATACGCGTCCTCGTTATTCAGTACAGGACGTCTCAAGCTTGGTCCCCGCGATGACGAAGCCACGTAACACAAAGTGGCTTGATGTCGTCCCAAGAATTCTCGGTATGCCCAAGTAGACAAAGTCTTTCTCCGAGACGACAATTGCCACACGGTGACACGAGGGCTACAGTCGCGGTGCCTAGGTCATCACTTCTTGTATAAATAGAGCTCTTTGGCCATCCGGGCCTTGAATGAAAACCAAGGACCTTTACTGCCAAAGACTGTTGGTAGATGAATCAACTTGGTGCCCCAAGCCCTCACTAACCCCGTGTCACACTCTTAATACCGGCCCAACCGCGTGCAAGGCCACCTTTTCGGAGCGTCACCCCGACGACGATGGATCAAGTCGTCCCATCCGGCTCAGTCAAAGGCACGGATCAAAGGCAGCATACACAGAGTGGTAGTCAGATGCCTCAACACCACCGTATCGCGCCCGCCAAATGCCCGCCAGGCTATTTCTGGGGGGAGGACGGACAAAATGTCCCCGAAAAGATACACGAAGGATACAGAGAAGCACGCGGCCTCATTCAGGACGGAAGCCTGGGAGTCCTTGAGAGTCTGTCGGAAGCAGCCATGACGAGCATCACCGAGACATTCGACTGCCTCAAGTCTCCCGACGGCACATCCAAGGGGAGCCTGGTGAAACTGCGTCTCTCTGACGATCTCGAGCAGTGGCGCCGGGAGCAGCACGCCCTCGGGCGCATCTTGCCGAGCAAAGGCCATGGCCTGGGTCCCGTTTCCAAAGAGGTGCTGGCGCTTCTTGGTGCGCAGCCGTGGCCGGAGCCTCTTGTCCAGAACAACACCCTGTTCATCTGTGGCATGGCCAACATGGTGATTGGGGCGAGTGATGCCGAAGCCCTATACACAAACTACTGTCTCGACGTGGCCTTCTTCTACGAGCACAGCTACCACAAGGTGTTTCCGGGCTTCGAGGACCTGGTCCAGACACAGCTACACACTGCCGGCGGCTCCGAGAGAAAGGCCGCCGTCGACATGGGCATGCGGTACATTAGAGCCAAGGTGGCCCTGGAGGAAGCCCACAGGCAACAAGTCTCCGACATGACGGCCAGGCTGGATCGGCGCGGTGCGCAAATCGTCTTCTTCCTCGAGAGCAGCCTCCTCGGAATGGCCCGCGAGGCCATGATGCGCGGGTTCGACCGGGCCGCCGTCATGAGCGACATGATATTCTCCTCGCCCGGCACAGACGTCATCGACGTCGGCTCGGACCTGTACAACTGCGAGCTGTGGAACTCCTTCCTCAACACGGCGGACATCACGTCGACCGGGGTGGTCGCCGAGGAGGCGCTGCGCAAGGTATACGATGCGTATGCGCACACGGGCGCCAGGATGCTGTGCGAGCGCTGGTCGGAGCCTGCGGCGCGATTGTCGGCGATGCTCTACCCGTGGCACATGGTCAACGATAGGCACCGGTTCCTCAGGCGCGCTCTTCTTGGCTTCCCCAAGGCGCGGAAGGGTGCGGCGCAGCCGCGCGAGGCCGACTTTGACGAGGTTTTCGACTTGGAGCTGCGCACGACCGGCTTCAGCAGGCCGCTGAAGGAGGCTTGCAGCGGTGGCGAGCCGTGCGACCGGGTGGAAGGCTTTCTTGGCGCGCATGACCGAGGGGAGGGTGTGTTGGCGGAGCTTTGGTGGTCTCTTGTTACTGGCCCGGTGAGATATGTCGCCCGGGGTGTTGTTGGGCCAGCTGAGGAGGAGGACCTGGCTGAAAGGCTGCGGCTGAGCATGGCTAGGTCTTACTCGCGTGGACTTGTGGATGAGATGACTTGGCTCATTGCCCATGCTAGCCACCATGCCTGGCAGGTGAATCGACTTTTTGAGGCGGCAATGTTTGGAAGCCTTCTGGATGATGGAGGCTTGCGTGGCAAGCTCGACAGGAAAGACTACTAAGCCATGTCATGTTATAAAGTTTGTTGAAGTTTGTATAGTGTATTCTTGGATGGATGTGGTGATGAGAGGTTATATAGTGAGAGCATTGAGAGGTAAAAAGTATTTAACCAGGTCAGGTACCTGGCCATCACGCTCTCTATTATAATTTATTCCGGTATATTAGTGTGTGTTTTTTGGGGGGGCAATTTCTTCTGCCATGGACTGTATATGACTACTGTTGCGCCACATTCGAACCCCTTTTTCCAGCTTTGTAGGTTGAGGATTTTATCAGGTTATTCTTCTGTTCTCCTGTGGTTCTTGTAAGTGTCGGGTTGGGGTCTCAGCCCAGCTGCCTGAGCCTCAGCTATGCCATCTCCGGCTGTATGTACATTACACCAGCAGAAAAGAATTTACTCGGATAATCATCAGGATTTCTATTCGTATATGACAAGGGCCTGTGTTTAGAGGCTTGGAACAGTATTCATATTCAGCTAATACTTTGCTTCGATATCAAATGTCCTTGGTTCTCCTTGAGACCTTAAAGCGGAAGACCTTTATTTAGATCAAGAAGCGGTGAGGGACCTTGTCCTAGGCCTCGCGATCGCAGCCCTTGTGTAACTATCGTCGGGTTCAAGGCTCGGCCCGTGCCTTCATGGCAACGTGTCAACCGTGTAACATCGTAGTGTTATTGCGTTGATGCTGTGCGCCTTGCACAGTTGTGCAACATAACCCCCAAGGCTGGTGCAAAGAGGTACAACAGTTAAAGGCTTGTGGCAATTAAAAGGGGACTTTTTCAATCACTAGTTGCCCTCTGTGAGACTCGAAGCCAATTCCAGTTGGAAGGGATGAATATAGAGAACACGATCCATGGCATGGGCATTCGACCTTTGGTTATATATCAGGAGTCCAACGCTCTATGGGGTGCGGCCATCTTGTCAATAACCACTAGAGACTGTAATTATTATTAATATAATACTACTTTGGCTCAAGGTTCTTGGGCCAGGTCCGATGTGACAAGGGCCTAGTATTTAGGGGCTTGGAACAATGTTCATATTCAGGCTAATTCTTTGCTTTGATATCAGAGGTCCTTGGTTTTCCTTGAGGCCCTGGGGGCGGAAGACCTTTATTTATATCAAGAGGCGGTGAGGCACCTTGCCCTAGGTCTCGTGATCAGAGCCCTTGTGTAACTATCGTCGGGGTCAAGGTTCGGCCCGTGCCTTCATGGCAACGTGTCATCCGTGTAACATCCGAAGAAGCCAAGGGCCTCGACTACATCACTTGTCACCGTTGGCCCATGATAATCGCCATACGCATGGAAATCTGTATTAAGCTGCTCAAGATTTTGGTGTATTAATCTCAACCGAAGCACGCCGCTGTACCGCTTGGAAAACATTGAAATTCATTCTCTTTGGCTATCTGGTCTTTGCTGAGTTGGTGCCGGAAAGAGGTCCTTTGGATAGAAAACACCAACAGGTTATATGACGTAGTGCCTTGAGCCCCTGATGTTATACTATGTGACGAGGGTTTAGCAAGGCTCGGAACGTAAAGGTTCAAATTCAAAGATAATATCGAACAGTGCCAAAAGTCCTTGGTTTTCCAAGAGGACAGAAGGGAGCAATAACTACTATGCAAAAAGGGAACGCGTATGCCGAGGGCTCTTCCCCGGGCACGTGTTCAATCCGTGTAACCAATAGGTCCTTTGTCGGTGAAGCCGCGTTGTTGGGCTTCACGATCTGTTGGGCGTTTTCCGTGTAACTTACAATTACATTGATAAGTGGCATAACCGGCGGATAGCCCGTATTACAGCCGATCTCGGCTGCAACACCACAAAGAGTGCATCACCACGAGTCGCGACGCACAAGGTGGTGTGGTCCTGACTCGTGGGTACGACTCCGTACGAGTCGGGGCTTACAGGCTGGACGCTAATGCAACTATAATCCAGATGCCTCGGTCATCTGGGTCAGGTTACACACATACAGGACCTCATGTATATATGGAGGTAAAAGGTCAGCACTTGAATTGAGAAAACCAAGCCTCTTAAAAACCCAAAGACAAGTTGGCCGAGTTTGAAAGCTACTCACCAGCTCTCATTTGAGCCCCTGTCACGCGTCTTCTTTACGACCCCGAACTCTCTCCTCTCTCTGTATCAATCACTTATACCTGTGCAACGGGTACAAACCGCCTTTTCAAAAATGGAGACGGACACATTTAAGCGCCAGTACGCAGACATCCTGCAGCGCTATCTTTGCGGAATTTCATACCAGAAACTGTCTTGCGAGTACGACCCATCTATAGAAGAGGCCGTCGTGCGGCACTTTCGCACTCTCAACTTTCCCAATGACTTCTTGAAGCGCATAATGCCCATTATCCACGCGAGCGCCTGGATAGCGACAAGCACATATTCCTTCACACCGCGCCATGTCCAGGAGGCGATTGCGGTGTATACTTCGCTGGCAATCGCCATAGAAGACACGAGCAAAGAAAGCACACACGACCTCAAACGCTTCCAGCAGCGGTTATTCAACAGGCAGCCGCAGCCTAACCTTCTCCTGCAGGCCATGGTAGATTGCCTCGTTTCCCTGCGCGGCATCTACGGCCCCTTCATCTGCGACATGATTGCCAAGTCGACCGCCGAGTACATAAGCGTATGCGCGTTCGAGGCAAAATACGACGGGACGCTGCGTCCCACACCGAGCTCGCCCGACTTTCCGTATTACCTGCGGCTCAAGACGGGCGTGGCAGAAGTGTACGCCTTCTTCGCCTTTCCCGAGGTGCTGTATCCGGAGGAGGCGTTTCTGCACGTGTACATTCTCGCGGTGCCGGATATATCCCGGTACTTTAATCTCGGCAACGACCTCTTGTCGTTTTACAAGGAGTCGATTGTCGCGGACGAGCGGCTGAATTATATATACAACTACTCGCGCGTGAGTAATAGTACGCCGCTCGAGTCGATCTGGTCGACGCACTTGGCACTGATTACTTGCGTGGAGAATATTCGAAAGACGCTCTCTGCTAGCCCGCAGATGCTGAGGAATATCGACCAGCTTATTAATGGCTACGTCATGTACCACTTTGGTGCGTCGCGGTACAAGCTCTCGGATCTAGGCATTCAAGAGGTGGATGAACTGAGGGCAAAGGTTTGCTGTTCTACTACAGTGGATAACGGAGTCGGTGTTTATAAACATTAAAATGGTCTTGTAATTTTCAAGTTTACGGAGACGTGTCAATCATGAAAGGTGAAGTCACTAGTGCAAACTAAGCCGAGTGTGCTATTTCCCAATTGGGTAATAGCAACTAGTATGCCGCTACGTTGCGGGGAGTAGTATCAATTGCTACCGTAGTTTTCGTATAATTGTATAGTTGTCAGTCTGTTAGGAAATGAAAAGTCTCTCGCTACCGCATTGATGGGGGTCGTCTCGCTTGATCGAATTCTCCATGTTGCCGATGAAAGCTATGCCTCACTAGCTACGAAAAAAGGTCCCTGCATTCAAAATGCTGAATGGCATGCCCTCTGCTGAAGCGTGTTCCATTCCTTCCATTCCGGCAATCATCTTTCTGAGTGCCTTGCCATCTGAGCCGCCCGGAACTCGTCCAATCACTGCCTCGGACAACATGCGGAGCTGCATAGGGAATTGGGAGTCGCCGTACTTTTCAATAATGTCACTCTTTTCCACGGCGCATTCCAGGTATGCCCGGTCGTTACCCTCCTGCGGAGTCATACCAAACGCCTCGCAATCCCTCCTCTTGGAAGCATCCCACCACGGCGGTAGCAGACCGGGACGAGACGCGGCGCGGCGCAGGAAGCGCTGGAAGCCAAGCAGTCCGTCGGGCGCGCCGGAGTAGAGGCTGTCATCATCCACCTCGCCTTCAAGGTTATACATGTCGTCGACGTTTAGGCGGTAAGCATCGATGAGGAGCATGTAGACGTCCTTCTCCGATCGGTCATGCAGCCAGGTGCCATTATCGAGGCGAGTGAATGGCTTGGCGACGCCTCCTTCCAGTCCTTTCGGGGGTGACAGCTTGTCCCGTGATGACCCGGCCGATGATGGCTTGGCCTGTGCCTGGCTGCTACAAATCTTCTTGTGGGACTTCCAGTCTGCCTTTTGGCAGTCCCTAGAGCAGTACGGAGTCGTGGAACATCTTGCACAGCGCTTGAGAGTGACCTCGGGAGGCGATTTTTTGCAGACGGTGCATGCGGTGTCCATGGCGCGTCGATTGTTGTCTGAAAAAGTGGTTGAAGGCTGGTGAAATTTGCTATGTCAGAGACAAGAGTGGGAAAAGCAAATTTTCTCGTGGGCGGTGTGCTTTGCAGAACGCCATGTACAGTGAACCTGCTCTATAACGATCATGTATCTTAGCAATAGTCGGGTTATTACGATAATTCACGGTCATCTAAGGTTTTTCCCTAGTAAATCGTTAATAGTCGGGTTACTAACGATATTATAGGTATTAGGCTTAGTCACCATATAAATCAGGGCTTTTATCGTTATTAGGGGCCTACTGAGGCCTATAAGGCCCTATATATAAGGCTTACAGCGCGTTTTTTTAGCCGTGACGCGGTCAAAAAAAAAACCTATCCTTGTAAATATACCATATTATGATAAATATATGTAAAGATATATGCCCTATAATAGTCGCACCTTTACGATAGTTGTCGAATAACGATAAGAGGGGCCTCGCGAAGCATATCGTTATAGGCCCGGTTCACTGTACTTTGTTTGTTACACAGCCAAGGCACGTGTTGCGACATGTGAGCAAGCGGTCCGACTCGGCGGACTGGTTCCAAGCCCGTCTCCGAATAAACAATGAGGACGTGCGTTCCAACGGCAGAAGCAGGCTGATTCATTTAACAGTCGCAGTTGGCGTGTTGCGATGATGTGCTCGAGTAGTTTACGCGTTTGAGAGAGAGAGACGGCCGAATTCAGATGTGGCTACCCCGTAGCGGTTAAGGTTGTCGATATCACATGGTTGGCTCACATTGCACAACAACCGTCACACAACAATAAAGAAAAGATGACGAG